CATCAGATTACCATCTTTTTTCGTTCGCTGCAACACCATCTTAATGGGAAAACGTATGCAAATGTGGAAGGTGTTATAGAGGACATTGTCATATTTGTTGCTTCAAAGCCAAGTGATTTCTTTAATCAGGGCATTAACAACCTGATTGTAAGATGGAAAGCATCATCGATAAGAATGGAGACTATTTCATTCAATAAGTGTTTTGTTTTGATATACAAGTTGTTCGGGTTTTTTCATCTAAATAGAAGCGACATTAATTTCTTGACGACCTAATACATAGCGAAAGTTTTTCTAAGTGAGTTATGTTAGTTAGTTGCTGGTTACAAAATCATCAGGACGAGTTCTACACGCACTGAGAAACCACTAAACAGTGGGGAAGTTAGGGAATGAATCCCAATGAAGTATGGATCGTTCAAGAACCATACAGATAATCTAGCCACACATCCAAATCAATACGAGAGCTTCAAGCTACATCATTCGTAGACAAACCGGTTAAATGCGTCTCTCTTGGACTTCTGCACCTTTGGGTTGTTCGATAGATCCTCGGAAATCGTCATCTGCGCATGTAGAGGAGTGGGGCAACATTGATCTCGGTGTGTTGTTCAAATATCTCTTGTAGTGAAATTGTACTGCATACCAATAGTCCATAAAGGCCATCACACAGAATAGCTTCCGTGGTGGAATCAGGGGCATTAACGACTAGGCATTCATTTTTGTATCGTTACCACAGATCGCGAACAAACTTATATATATATACATGCTGTGTATTAGTTGTAAATACATCATTTTTATGTATACCAATTCCGAGATGAATAACGTTGCGCAGTTGCTGTGTAAAATTATAACACTAAGACTTAAAAACTTTTTGTTGTTGTTGGAATAATTTGTTAAAATGGAAATGTAATTTACGTTCTTCTACTTCATTATGAAGATAAACATTGATTAATATATTTTCATCTTTTTATTATGTTAGGTTTGGAGAATTTGAGACTTGAAAATCCCAACTTTCATTGAAACAAAATGTTGTTTGTTAGTAAGCACAAAGCTATACAAAGAGCTATATGTGCGATGTCCACCACAGGTATCGAAACCCGGTTTCTAGCTATATAAGTCCGCAGACATATCATTGTGCCAGTGGGGGAGGGGTGGGCAAAACAAAACCAACATTATTGCTAAAGGGCTTCCACTAAAGGGCTTTCAATTCAGTAATCGAAATAATATTTCCCACTGGTGACCTGGCAGCTGGAAGATGAACCTACATGGTGTCCCACTGGTGACCTGGCAGCTGGAAGATGAAACTACAGGGTGTGCCAAAAGTTAAAACTCAAATTTAAATCTTTCTTTGTCCGCAGATGTCACTATTGTTAAAATATATCTTTGACATCAGGAAGAATGAGTTAACAATATTTGAGTATATACGGAAGAAAATGTTGGATATTTCCAATCCATTGTGTGGAAGACATGGTTGGGTATGTCAAATCCCTTGTGTAGAAGACATGGTTGGGTATGTCAAATCCCTTGTGTGGAAGACATGGTTGGGTATGTCAAATCCCTTGTGTGGAAGACATGGTTGGGTATGTCAAATCCCTTGTGTGGAAGACATGGTTGGGTATGTCAAATCCTTTGTGTGGAAGACATGGTTGGGTATGTCAAATCCCTTGTGTGGAAGACATGGTTGGGTATGTCAAATCCCTTGTGCGGAAGACATGGTTGGGTATGTCAAATCCCTTTTTGTATGGAGTGCAAATCCAAAGTGTACAGTACCTGAAGGAACATGTCACTGTCATCATATCCTAGCCAGCATGCTGTTTGCTTTTTACAGTGATGGTTGGAATCCTTACAGTATGTGCTTCAATATGTCAGGAAACCGTAATGAACACTTGCGTATGTCATATTACACGTTTCAATATAACGACGTTTGGGGAACCCTGTATTTATTGGACTTTGTTACTGTACAGCTAATATTTTTAATTTCTGTTCGCATTGGTCAGCCTCTGAATATATGTTTACGTATATTTATCTTCTATATTAAATTTTTACTGCTTTTCCTTCATTATCCCTATTTTAATAACATCTAAATATATATATATATGGTTGTAAGCAGACATTATAAGTATTTATCACCTTACATTTTGTTCACTTTCTTTTATACTCTCCAGTTTAGTTTGAAACTTTTTTCCACATTCTTCCGTATCTTGCTTTCTGCTACACAAACTTTAATTTCATTTTGTTTCATTTCACAACCTTCTTTTTACCGGTCAGTTTTCCGCAGCCATATCGACAGAAAACTTTCTGTCTACACGACATGTTTTTTCTTTCTTATAAACAGAATTACATACTGTTACGTCACCGTTGTTAATTGATTTTCTGTAACTTCGTACCGACGAAACTTAAGCGACACAAGTCTTTACTTAATAAAACTGGTTTATTCTTTCCGAATATAAC